CAAACTGGAAAAAAGTGAAAGGAAAAACTTTAAATAAGCTAACATTTTTAGTATAAAAAGTGAGTGATATTAAGTTTTATTTATCCAGAATTCCGGAATTTATGATTAGCTTGCCATATTTTTCCTTCTTCAATTGATCATTGCAGCAGCTGGAAAACTACCGACCCCATTTTCCGGAATAACGAAATCATAAAACAGAACATTGACATGCACCTAACAAAATTAATTCTTATTTCATAAATGGTAATTTATAAGTGGAAAATACCTTATATTGCAAAAGAGAAAGATCCGGGAAAAGTGGTTATACAAATGATACTGTTTGCGAAAGTTTTGTTGTTGTTTGTTATTGATGTGATGAGTCGCAAAGGGAAAGTGTTTACTGAACAATAGAATTATAGTAACTAATATAATACACTAGTATTAGGTAATATAAAATAGAAGATGAAATGTTACTAGTACTGTAATTTTAAATAGGAATGATTCATAATCGAGTTAAGGGAGACGAATGTAGCACTGATATAACGTTCGACTAAGAAATTTTACTGAAAAGTACCGAGAATCCGTTCTCTTTATATTCTCCATAAGTAGGTTAGGCTGGCTTACGGTAACATACACAAATTAATTTTTTCCTCTTATCCAAGAAGAAATTACATAGGAATGATTTTACTGGATGTGTACAATCTTCAATATCAAAGGAAAAAGATTGAATGTTAGCTAATAGACTCATCATTTTAAACATGGAAAAATGTTATTCCCAGAAATGTTCATTACAACAAATTCTTTAGCTACTTGAACACATTACAATTTCCTTCCTTCGGTTTTTTCCCACAATTACTATTCGTAATATTCATCATTATAATAATTTTTTTTTTTTGCTGTGATAAATAAAACTATTATCAGGATGTAATCATTATTCAAATATCGAATAAATCAATTCTTGGAGAAATTTTGGAAATGTAAAATACATCAAAATGAATTGTATTTTTACCAAATGAATGTGTGATATGTGTTACAACGAAACATGAAATATATGGAATAAATCAAATTCTTGATATTACTGTTCTCATTTTTATTAAGTAAATGAGAACCGATGTGAACACAAATTGCAAGCATATATTTATCATGATTTTATGAAAAAAAAAAGGGAAAAACTTTATGAATTGACGATTTGATGGCTATCCATTGAGTAACATTACAAAAAAAGAACTGTCCTCTAGCTGTCCATGTGAAAGAAACTGAAATAATATAAAATCAATTAAATGATAAAAAGTGAAATTTCGAATTTACCCAATCTATAGAGATATGCTAAATATGTTTATGAATTAATTAATTAAAAACTTAATATGATATTCATAAAAGCAACAATTATTCATTACAATAATAATTAATCCACAGCAAAAGCCAAATGAATATTGCATTGATCGCATTTTTTGTCTTTGTCGATGATTGGATCAAATGATATGGTATGTTGATTGATGAGCAGAACAGAATATTAGTTTTGCACATACTGTCCAACCACTGAGATAGTTGCACTGTTGGAGAAGATTACTGTATTTAGTAGTTTGCGCTGACATACCAAAACGGTTAAATTACAGTGATGATATCAGTATTTTATTGTAGCTTAGCTATTTTATGTATAAAATTCCAACTTCTAAGAACCATTTCAGTTGCAAAATTCAAAATCGTTAATTTTTTTTTTAGGAAATGGAAGTCGAATTTGCATATGTTCGCCAGATTGGCCCAAATCTGTTAAATTTGGTAGATTTGAACAATTTCCTGCGCTTTATTTCCATGTTTTCAAAATTTCCAAGGCGCTTTATTTTGCTTTATTTCCGGCTTTTGGAATAGTATTTTCAAAAAAAAAAGCATTATTTCCCAATATGTTTGCATTGACAATTAACTAACGCCACAAAGATGAACCGAAAATCATTATAATGCCACAAAATGTAAACAGAGTCATTCAATACCATACGGATTAAATGTTTATTTAACCAGTGACATTTAATGCGCCAGTTTTAATTTATGCAAATCTTCACATTCTCTGTGTCATCGAAACTTTCAAGCTTTCACTATTACCATCAGAACATCTAATTACAAGCACTGATTAGAAAATGTTCAACTTCTTTTTTGTAATCATCAATTTTGCTGTAAAGTTATATCAAATATGCTAATCAAGTAATTTAAGCAGCAATTTGAAGCGTTTTAGAAATGCGCCATCATCTTTTAATATGCTTGCCATTTTAGTATGTTATTCAAATGAGAAATGATAAATAAGGAGTAGTAGAACATATTTTTCTCGACAATAAATGATGACAATTTGGCCCAACACAATTTGTCGCACAAATAATTTGTCACTCAAAAACAATTTTGCCAACATATCTCAATTTGTTTGCATTAACAATTGAAACGCCACAAAAACTAAAAACCTGAAAATTTCCATAA